GTGCGGTAAGTGATGAACATGATGAACGGTTCCACCAAGACATTTCTGTTATGGAAAAATGGTATCAGGCAAATGGAGTGTCAATTTGCTTGCTGATTATTGCTGGACATTGTTAAAAGATACTTCAGGAGCAACATGTCGCCGTAAAACATCGACAACATTCTGAGATTAATGTTTATTCGAGTGTTTATTAGTAATCTTACACACATATCCTTATATTTACGAGTATAAGCGGCAACCAAAATGCCTCATTGCAAGAAAAGTGTAGGTGATAGAAAAAATTGAATGCTATTTCCGGCTTTTTGGGTACGTTTCACATAACAACCACCTTGTTTTGTCCATGTCACAAAAATTATTTTAATTTTGTTCACCAGTGTTATTAATGTTATAACTGAAGGAAAGATATCAGAATTCTCGAAAATAATCAAAGAACCATTAGTTCTTCCAGTAGTTTTACGGTTTCGACGATGTCAATGCACGTGCAACATTAAAAATCATACGGAAGTCTTTACGGCGTTTTCCCTCGCACTGAGTCAATATTAAGATACCCCGTATGCGTGTCGTCGTCTTAATCTTTATCCCCCTCATCATCAGCGCGAGAGACTCATCAAGTGAGAAATGTACACTTCTCTCATAAGTTTCCGCAATTCGCAGTGGGGTAACCTCTAGAAATTTCGGCGCTCTATTCAAAGTCTAACGAAGGCTTAACTATAAAGAAAACTTACACGCTTACCCTTGTACTAAAAGTTTTGCGCCAGCCATCGATCATGCTCCAAGGTAAAGACATAACAGAACTAATTTCTGAAATTGGACCATTAGGCGCACCGGAGCATCTGCAAACGGTCGACAAAGGTAAAGAAGGGTCCTATGAAACGTGCGCCAGTTTCAGGTAGTAGTACAGTCAATATAGCGACGCACATTGCAAAAAATGAATGAAAATTATTACCTGTGATGGCAAAGATGGAGAGCGTGTGTTGAAAATAATTGAGCATATGAATAAAGATCACCAAGAGAGTACGAATTTTCATTTGATGTAACAGAAATCTGTCATTATTGTTGTTTTAATGTACACAGTGAGTTGAACAGATTACTATTTTCAGATAGACTTCTTTATATTAGTATTATTCAGCGAGGTTCGTAATGAGGTTCCACACATTGCCCCAGCTAGAATAAGTGATGTTTATGAACCTTGAAGTACTGCCAAATAAAATGCAGCTTCAGTTTATATGTTGTCATTTTATTTCAGGTGGGGGAGCCGGTTATTCCATATTTTCGATATTTTCTTGGAGTGGCCCTAAAATTCCTTTCTAATGCTATCCTAGTGACAAGCTGATCTTTGATTTGGACTCAAGGACAGCGACAATCTTTGTGACACGCGTTTGGACTCGAATGCTGGGCTTGCTCCGAATTTGTCCCTGAAGTGACCATTAAATGACCTTCTGATGCCCTAATAGTGACCTCTGAGTCGGACTTAGCGGACATAAAAACCCAAAAGTTGGAACCAACTGATCAGTTTTTTTGAAAATGTCCTTGGTATGGCTTTGAGGTGACCTTCAAATGCCTTTTAGAAACTAATCCCAGATTTGGAATTAGCAACCCAAGAAACACTATTATACTGAAAATCGTGTAAATATAGTGGATATTGCATTTTTTCAGCTTTTCGGTGTTCTAGACCACTTTGTGACGTAACGTCTGACCAAGTTCGATATCGAAATTATCAATGCAGTGCCAAAATAATCATGACGAAGCAGTCGTATGACGGCACAATCAAGTCGGCATATAAATTTCCAAATAAGTTACAATCAGGCTCCTCAAGATTATTACTACTATTACTATTGATGATACTTCTAAGATTGAATAAGTATTCGAATTACATGGATAAGAGATAACGATAAAAAGCATGAAGTATCGACTGACAGCCAGGCATTTTGATCTTGAAATAAAATAATGTCGGTTTGCAAAGTATGTAATTTCCCTTAGGGAAGTTAGGCTCCGCCCGCGATAAACAGTAAATCGACCAGCTCGCTTATTAAGTATGACACGATACCTAAATCAAATATATCGCTGATATGTTATCCATAACAATTCAAATTTTTTAGTAAATATCTGTACGATCCTGAAAGGTTGTTGCCACTTGGAAATTTGTTGCAAAAACTTGTTTCTAAAGGCCGTATCGTCAGTCGTTCTTGCAATTGTAGGACGCCTTTACGGCCTCCTTGATTTTGATAGTCTTTTCTCCCTTCAGAAAGGCTGAAGTACCTATTTCTAGATTTCTAATGTGCCGTGTCAGCGTCAGCACTATGTTTTCTTTTTGAATCGTATGAAATTTCAAGCTGATATAACATACGATACAAATCAAAAGCATGAACAATTTGATGCAAATAGGTATTTGTAACATAACCTCGCGCGCGGACATGAAACAGTAGAAGACTATGAAAATCAAGGAGGCCATAAAGGCGTCCTACAATTGTAGGTGCGACTGACGATACGGCCCTTAGAAAACTTTCTCAACTTGATAACACTTAAACATATACTGGTCCATTTTAGCTACAACTTCCTTATGTTCTAGAATAACAATGTTGCCGAGTAGCAAGTCAGTATTTGGCAACCGAGTACCTACACATTATACCCTTAATTTAACCAATAAGCAATCGAAAAAACCTGTGCTATACCTGGATTGTTGAGAGCCGTCTGAATGCGCTTTGTCGAAGCCGAGGAACTGGCACGTTACCTACAAAGACACTTTGGCGTTAGGCGGGAAACGTTCCTTGGAGGGTTTAATAAGGCGGTGAGATGCACCGTCTCGCCTCGCCCGACTTTATCATTGAGGTTACAGCGACTCAGTTAACTGCAGTCTGTTTGTCGCTAACCGCTGTGGTGATCCAGGTGCCTGACATAACAGGTACATTTTCAAAAATACAAAACACCCGACTGCAGTAACTGAACTTAATGAGGTTTTAATTGTGCTATTAAGACGAATCTAAGCACATCTCAAATGGCAAAATACATCAAGCCGTTTGGGCCCGTGAAATAGAAATTTCAGAGTTGCAGTTTAAAATACGCCCTTTTGCTTTAATGAAACTTTAATATACTCAGCGTCACTCGACCTGTCAAGACCAATCTAGAGACACCCATGTGAAAAACCATCCCGCCATTTCAGCTGTAGCAACTCAAATTTCAAAGTTGATATTTTCTATTCATATCCGAATGTATCAGAGGGGCGGATGGTTTATGTATGTGTATGTGTGTGTATGTATGTATCTATATTCTATGTCTGTAAATTAAGTGATGAGACTGCTTTTTTTAACTTTTCCATCCAAATATAGGTTACAATTTTATACTGGCAGGCTGAGGAGCCACAGGAATGTTTTTACTTGCCAAAAACTGGTTTATTGCTATTACTATGGCTGTGTGACGGGTAGCATTATCATGCTGCAACACCTAGTTGCTCTTGATCTGATAAGCCGTAGTGTGAGTCAAATTTAACTCTTCCCCGGTCATTCTGACTGTTAACCCATTAACGCCCGCTGTACTCAAGCGAGTACACTTGTGTTTGTTCCTATCAGAGCCATCTCTGAGTCAACCACATAAATACTACCTTTTCTAAACATTTGTAGATGGCACATGATACAGGGTGCAACAGCCATTTTTCATAAATTCTGTGAGTGTGACGTTGTTTGCAGTATTAGAAGCTTTTGCTTATTTGATCTGAGTTAAGTTCGGATTTTGCATAATTTTTTCTCATTGAGGCAACCATCTAATAAACTAATATTTCTATGTTATGCATTATAAAGGTTGTTTGTTTGATTTGCCGGGCATAAATTATTTTAGCTGATTTGATGTAATTAGAATGTATGTTCAAGTTTGACTGTACTCAAATGAGTACACTGGGCATATTCGTTATCATTCGACTAATGATATTTTTTGTTTGTTTTAGATATGTAAAAACCGTTTTTTGATGATCCTGTTAAAACATACGGGTATTATAATTTCCTACCTGATGCTCTAGATGATTTAAAAGATGACGATGATATTGTGGTCTTGCCTCCAGACGCGCATTATTTGACTAACGAGGAGGAATTGGACGAAAACCAACTAATGGCAAATGGAATGCCACAAGATGTTTCTGGTCGTTTGGAGCTGTTTCGCCAAAGTTCAGCTAATGATGAGTTCTGCAGCAGCGACGAAGAGCCTTTGAGTGAAGTGCGAAAACGTATAAAAATAAATAAAACTAAACGCGATGACTTGGCCTGGGAGAAATGCAATCCTAAATATTCCATTTGGTCTGAGCCGCCACCGTTATCTGAAATGAATTCCAATATAGATAAACTAGTGGAAGAGATTTAAATCCAGTACAACTATTTGAAGTTTTATTTGATGTCAAGGTTTTGCAACATATTGTCGATCAGTCCATGTTATATGCGTCTCAAAATAATCGACACAATTTCATTACCACCAAAGAAGAGATGAAAACCTTTTTTGGAATACTATTTTTTTCCGGATATCATAGGTTACCTCAAGAGCGGATGTACTGGTCTACTGATGAGGACTTAGGGACTACAATTCTTTCTGCATCAATGTCAAGGAACAGGTACCTAGAAGTAAAACAAAACATTCACTTTGCTGACAATACAAAGATTGACCAGACCGATGGAATGTATAAACTTCGTCCACTTATCAATATGATGTATGACAATTTCAAAAAATGGGACATTTTCCATTCCTTTTTACCCATCGACGAAGCCATGGTAAAATATTTTGGTCACCATCCCGCCAAACAATTTATTCGCGGCAAGCCAGTGCGTTTTGGCTAAAAAAACTGGTCACTCTGCAGTTCCTCAGGTTACTGTTACCATTTTGAAACATACTGCCGTAAGACTTCTTTGAAGAAAGGAGCAGACTCATTGGGATCAAATGTTGTGCTAAAGTTATTGGAAAATGTGTCTAGCCCAACACAACATTGTGTATATTTCGATACTTATTTTACAACAATTCAACTCATGAAAGTTCTGCGAGAGAATGGATTTCGAGCTACCGCTACCATAAGGGACAACAGATTGAAAAAGTGCAGTGTAGACTCGGCGAAAACTATGGCCAAATATGATCGAGTTACTTATGATTTTAGGTTTGAAAAACATAATGAACTATTATTAGTCCGTTGGGTCGATAATAACGTTGTATCGATTATTATCAACTACGATAAAATAGTGCCCCTCCATCAAGCTCGTAGGTGGTCAAAAGCAAAAAAGGAACCAGTTCAAATTCAGCAGCCGAACTTATACAGAAGTTACAACAGCCGTATGGGAGGAGTTGACCTTAGTGAACAGTCTGTAAATACATACAGAGTTGGAATTCGCGGAAAGAAACGGTGGTGGGTTTTGTTCACATAACATATATGTTGGACTTAGCTATAACCAATGCCTGGAAATTATCTCTCATACAGTCAGAAGAAACCGAAAATGGTAAGCTAATGCAACTTCAATTTACAAGATATGTTGTTCGGCACTACCTACGAAACGACAAGGAAAACCGTGGACGGAGGCCTGCATGACTTCCAAATACTCGTAGTATTGCACAAGATAAATTCGGACATTTCCCTGCGAAGCTAGAGAAGCAATTACGATGTGCAGTATGCCACTCAAGGGTTCGTTGGAGTTGCGAGAAGTGTAAAATAACACTATGTATTGAACGTGCCTGCTTCAAGTTAAATCATGCAAAATAAACGGTTTCGCCCATTGTACTCAAATGAGTACAGATATTTTTTTGGAAAAAATAATGAAATATAAATGGTTTTATGATCTTAAGTTTTTATTTTAGTCCTAGTAAACTAACTTATATGCATGATATCCGTTTTCCATGTTCAAACTTAATTTGGGCGTTAATGGGTTAACTGACTATCTGGACGCACAAGATCCTGGATTCTGTCGATGATTTTATCGGTTCTTGAAGATGAAGGCATTCCGCTTCGAGATTCATCGGCAATCGACTCTCTCCCTTTTGGAAATGCCATAAGCCACCAAAAAACCTGGGCTATTGATAAAACACTATCATATCATCGGCTGCTGAAGTTTAGCAAGAGTTTTTGTTGTACTCTGAAGCAGAACCTGACAGCACACTGTTGCACATTTCACAAAAAAAAATCGCTACGGACAACCAAATCGACCAAGTTTCCCTGCATCTCCTCCAAGCCTAGTGTTGCCAGATCGAACACTACGTTGCTTGTCTCAATACTTAACTTACAGACCTCGTATGTTTGTATGTATGTATGCTATGTCTGCATGTTATGAATGTATGTTACGTATGTATTATGTGTGTATGTTATGCATGTATGTTATGGATGATGTATGTCATGTATGTATGTATGTATGTGGACAAACATACTATTTCACGGGGTACCGCTCGATGAATTTTGACATATGGGGTGCTGTTGGATTCATCTTAGCAGTGCAAGTGATACCGGGGACACTAAATATTATAAACACAAACTGGTGGATTTTAGTAAAATATATGAAGTGTCTCTAAGATTGCATTGACAGTGCGAGTGACACTGGAAATTGCATTAAGAAATTCCAGTTCCACGGGCTACAGCTCAAACAGCTTGATGAATTTTGATACAAGGTATGAGTCAAGATTAGTCATGACACTGTGAATGACTAAGATTTTGTAAGTGAAAATGTCGGATCTTCAGCTAGAATTTCAACTTTGTTTCGCTTTCATGGGTTTTAGACGGTTTGATAAATTTTGACATAAGAAGTGTCTGTAGATACTATCAAAGCTGCTTTACTTAATTGCTTAGCCTAATATGCTGTAATCTTGTTTCTTCTATTGTGTCAGAAAATATCCATCGGCAAATTACGACACTTCTAATAGTACCTGTACTATTGGTATTCATCTGCTAAATATCATAATCATACAGTGAGTGTTCAAAACTCGTTACAAAGAGATATCGTTCAAAATATTGTAAAATCCGACAGCCTCATCAAAATGCTAGAGGCAACGACGTTCCTAGTGGAAAACCGCTTATACTGAGTTTGAAAACCTCATCTACTCCACCCACTCGACCGATTTGTACGATAGTGGGCACAACTTATAACAAAAATGTTAAGTACTACTATTAAAGCTGTTTCACACAACCGATTAGCTAAAAAGCTATAAAAATCCGGGGGATGTAGCTAAGGATATTGTGATTATACTGAGGATACTTAGGTTAAAGCCCGAATAGATGGAGGCATCCCTATTTTGCGATATTGAAAAATACACCAGCTCCGTCAAGATGTTGGAGACAATGAGGTTGAAACTCCCTGTTGGGAAACCGCTTAACGGCAGTTTGAAAAACTCATCCGACTTTCACTCGACTGGCTCGCACAACTAATAACAAGAATATTAAGTGCTATCGGGGCGTTCCACCCATTGCCTCTTCCACTCTTATCATTAAGAGACTGCCGCCGCGCATCTTTCCAAGTGCTCGCCACTCGCTCATAAAGTGCACAGTAAGATTCGCTTTTTCTCTAGGTGGGAGGTTGGGATTCTTTTCTTGGGCGTAGCTACACACGTAGAATTCTTAATGGTCTAGTTTAGAAGCTCTGTTAAGAACCTTTGAAAGTGGGTTACTGGTCTCCACATTGTAGGTATGTAGGTTCAATCAATGTCAATAATCAATGAATTTTAGGAAATCTGACAGTAATGCTTTATACTTACATACTACAATTATATTCACTGAACACAGTAAAAAACAAATTGCCCGAATAAGAAGTCCAAGTATACATGCTAACAATAATTATACATAATGTGGTAATAACATAATACTCGTATATATGTTATCCCACAAATCTGTTGGAGTGCAACTACTACCTACAGATCTGTCATGTCTATAGCTATACGTACGTATATATTGTTCAGTCAGAGTATGCTATATTTAGTTATGGTTTCCTTCCTTTCAAAACAACAATCCTTTAAATAGGGATCTGATGGCAGTTTAAAGCCTTCAGGTATCTTGAAGCTCTTAAGCAGTATTTTGAAGTGGTGGTGAGATTTCACAGTAACCTTAAGATTTTCAACGCTGTTCTGTAGCTCTGAGATTCAGACTGATACCAATGCCTGCGAGAATATTTGTCAAAATGCCATATTTGTTTATTTAAAATATTACGCATTCTGGTGGTGACATTTCACAGTAAATCTACTTATTCATATACGGATGTCGGAGGGATCGATGACTGACTGACAAGACATTGCCGTAAAGTCAAAAGCACCACTTATAGTTTTCCTGAGAATGCGAATGTTTTTTGTCTTATTAGAGTGGCTTTTATGCCTGATTTATTAAAACCGATCAATTTGATTAACTATAATACTCATATTCATACTCATAACAAAGCAATCCATTGATGTCCTTTACTCACTAGGAACAAAAGACTACACAAGTTCATACGGCATGGAACTTTTCAATCGTCTAACGGCATTGTAGTTGTCCAGCAGCTAAAAAGCTTTTACACTGGGATGTTTATCCAGCTTTTCTTCGTGCCTGGCCGGTACTTTTTTGATCTCGTTGATAAGCAGAGGGATGTCTAAATTACGATGAATGTCCAAATTACGAACATACCAAGGGACATTTAGCGATGTGGATCTTTCCTGGGTTCGGAGTCACGGTTACTTCTTTGACTAAACATAGTTTCAGGTTTAGGTTACGGAGCAGAATTCAAATGGTTTGGCTATAATGTAGTAGCCGTTTTTCGGGTTCGATAGATTCGTATCTATCTACGCAACTAAACATGCGTTAGGTACGACTCGATGGAAAAAACTGTGAGTGATTCGTGATTTCTACTTTCAACTGTTCGGTCTTCCCCGATATCCGTACGTAAGTGGACAGCTTTAGCTAGAATTTCCCTCGCATTTCTGTTATACCTAACACCATATGAACTCTCTAAAAAATTAAGCGATGCAACTGCACATGAGATGTTAAATCAACATACTTCATCAACATACTTCTAAGAGACTGAATATAATTTTATTGTTTCTTCCAATGTTTCAACTTACGTTAATAAAATGTATATGTTACAAATTTATGTAGCCCAACGAAGTATGGTGAATTCGTCTATGCTGTTATGTTAACGAATGTGTTTTCATTACATCTTTAGGTTTTTTAAGGTATAAAAGTTTGATGCCTTATACTTGTATTCCTTTCTATCGAATCACCAGTATTTAAATTTAAATAAATATTATTATTATGTTCCTGTTTCGTCTCGTAAATAGAACACGCACGCAGCGAAGAAAAGCGGCTCACCGCGGCCTCCCAACTTCCGCCTCATTCCTTGTTCTTGTGCCACGCAGTAAACACCGACTTACGAGTTCGCGCACCGTTTTTTACGTTTTTAGTGTTGAGGTGTCCAAACACAAGAAATGAGAAAGGAACAGCTTCTCATGCGAGCAATCGCTGAACACAAATATTAGACAACTGGAGCGAAGGTGGGCCGATAATTATGATGTGTATTGTCGGCGGGACACCGACGGAAGGTTACCTTCAGGGCTCCTTTCATCGCGGAGCAGCGGGTTAGGCTACGGTCAGACTGCATCCGTGTTTGACCGATTTTTCCACTGGCGTATACGGTCGATAACGCCAGAAAAAACAAATGCTTCAAACTTAATTGGAGACGGTCACAGTTGCGCCGTCCAGCACTGACGTGCACGGACTTGTTCGGCCGACTGACGGTGGAAAACAAATTATTTTGTTTTTTCCGGCCGTATACGCCAGTATTTGTGTTGCAGTCTTCAAGTTTATACAGTAATCACGAAATATGGTAGACACAGAAAAATTGATTTCCTTGGTTTATGACCGAAAACCATTGTGGGATGTGGGCAGTAAAAGCTACCACAATAGGGACGTAAGAAAAAAGCTTTGGCGGGAAATAGCAGAGGAATTGAACAGCACAAGTAAGTATTTTATTAATTTTATTTATTTTAGTGTCTTTATTTCATTGTCCTGAAAATCTGTCGCCCCTACTGTGTTGAAATATGTTTTAAATTGGTCGCGAATGTAGTAAGCATCTCTTCCTGCTTTATTGAAGCATCTTGGTTCCCTGCTTGTCGATCTTGCATCTTTTGCAGTATTGGTTGAGTTGATTTTTTGCAATGTACCTTCATTGATTCCCTCTATATCTGTGAGAATGTTGTGCAATAAGCAAGTAGTCATGACCAATTTGTCAACATGATGAGGTTTAACTTGGAACTCTGTCTTGAAGCATCTCCATTTTGAAACAAGTATGCCAAATGCACATTCTACAATTCGTCTGGCTCGACTAAGCCTATAGTTATAAATTTCAATTTCACGAGGAAGCTCCTCCTGTTGGATAAGGGCGCATTAAATACTCTTTTAGAGGATATCCTTGGTCACCAAGTATGACGTAAGGTAGCGTCATGGTAGTTCCGGTTATCTGTCTTGGTTGTGGGAAAGGAAAAGATCCTGTTTCTATATGTTGGAACAGATTAAATTCTGAAAACGCACCACTGTCACTTTGCCTACCATAGGCTCCCGCATCCACACTTAGAAATTTATATTGCGCATCAACTTTTGCTTGAAGGACCATAGAGAAGAATCCTCTATAATTGAAGTGTTTCGACCCAGTTTTTTTCGGGCATTTAATGCGCATATGTTTGCCATCGATACTGGCAACACAGTTTGGGAAGTTCCATAACTGCTCATAGTCTTTTGCACTCTTTTCAAGCAAATCTGCTGTAGGAAAAGGCATATGTTTCTCAGTAAAACACTCCTAAATGGCATCACAGGTCTCATAAATTATTCCTGCAATAGTGTTGTGTGCAATCCGATAGGAAAAAGCCAAAGATCTAAAAGCCATCCCCGTAGATATAAATCTGTAAAGAAAACAAATTTCGTAAATACAAAGTCCACTCCAAATGAAAGTTATGAATTTTACGGGGTATTCTTTTATTCCAGGTGAAGTGACCAAAGGGAAATGACAAAACTTACCTACAGGTAGTGCAGCTCTCGGTGATACTCAAATCTCTTCGCGGAAATACTACAAGCAACTTTCATTCCTAATCGGCGCGTTTTCTTCTCGAAGAATGAAGACAAATATCCCTTCCGTGTTAAGCCAAACTTCAGAGCTAGCTAATATCCTAAATGAAGACGAAGAAGAAGAAGACGTAGCAAGGGCATCTAACAACATCATTGATCCTATTTGTGTGATCAGCAACAGTACTGTTGAAACACAAGAATCAGAAACCCCCGTAGATACTGTTCAAACAGACCCGTTTCGTGGTCCCAGTGTAAAGTCGTTCAAAAAACCTCTCATGACAACAAAACGAAAAATTGCTATACCGGATGCCATAGCAAAACTTGTTTTACTGGAGCAGTGAAAGGTTGAGCAACTGGAGGAAAGGTATGAACGTAGCAATACATCTGAAGATTTGAACAAGGATGACGACTACCATTTCTTTATGAGTCTACTACCACATCTTCGTGATATCCCGAAAAAAAGAAGCTGGCAACCAGAATGCGCCTACAGCAAGTTTTGATCAATGAGGCGGAGGCAGAAGAGGAACGTCCCAATTCAGTTAATTCATTATATTCTTACAATTGTAGCCCACAATGTTCAAATCCATCACCAAACGAACGTCCCAACTCAGCTACTTCATCGCATTCTTACAATTACAGCCCACAGTGTTCAACTCCATCACCAAACGCAGCACAAACCAAACCAAATTCTCTAGCCACATATGTAGAAACCTTCAGTCCAGAGTATCACAATGTGTGACTGAATTTCCTTATACTGTGTAATAGTTGAATTTGACTAGTTTAGTTTTTGACATAATAATTAGAATTACCTATAGTTTATAGTTAAAAAATACAAATGTTTGTACTTACCTTAATGTTGCCGATAGTCGTTCTTCTGGAGAAATACATTTTCTAAAATTACTTTGTTTTTCTATGTACGGCCTAATTCCATTTAGTATGTACCAGAACGTGTCAATTTGGATACTGAAGTATTCGAAACATTTATTTTCTTGCTCCAGCAGCCTTGGAAATAACGTGTGAAACTTGCCATGCTCTTCTCTCTCTTGAAAAATGGAATTCACCCATTCACTTTTCTCGCCGTCCTTAAGTAGTATATGTAATAATGAGGTTTTAAACAACAGTAGTTCGTCTTCGTCCATTTTGGATTGGAAACTGAAGATCGGCCGAAATACGTGCAGTATGACCACAAGTTTATCAGAGTAGGTCGGCCGATAGGGTTGTCCGCGTGCGCCAGTGTAAGAATTGGTCAAACACGGATGCAGTCTGACCGTAGCCTTATACGTGCATGACCAACTGCCATAGATGCAGAGTCAGAAAGTGGAGTGCCAGCCTCTTTTTCTGAAGATGCGTCACCAACAGGTAATTTTCGACTAATCAATCTATTTTAGGTGCAAGTTTATGAAATAAAGTTAGGTGAATGTTGGTATGGATGCGTCATCGGCGTCGCAGACTGCCTGACTCGACATTTGAGATAACGCTCCGACAGCGGACTATGTTGCTTGGGATAGCTGCCTCGACGTGGCCTGTGAGAGCCAACTCCATACCAAGGACGAACAAAGGTATTTGAGATAACGTTGAAACATTGGACTCCGTTCCTTGTGATGGTAACTTGTGATAGGTAAGATCCTACGACAAATTACAACACTGAAAGCGTTGTGTGAAGCGTAGTGGCAAGGTATTTTCAACAATCTCTTCTCATTTGCTTGTAATAGCAAATTAGACCTGGTTTGTGATAACCATGGAACAGAACTGTAACTATCTATGAACATGATAGGTTAGGAAACCGCCACGGTATCTTTTTCCTTATTAACAGGTAAAGTTACATTTTGGTTGTCATAGCAAATTCCACCTGGTTTGTGATAGCCATGGAACAGGACTGTAAGTATGCACATGACAGGTTACAAATCCGCCGAAGTACCATTTTTCATTAATAACAGATATAAATTAGGTATTTACATCTATGGTAGGCTAGCGCTACGTTAGGAAACAGGAACATGTTAGGAAACCACCAAACTACTAATTTCCAGTAATAACGGCGACTAGGTACCATCATGCCCGCTTAAGGTTTATCCAGACTCAGCCGTGACGTGACAGTGCCGTGACGTGCCAGTGATTCTCGCTGACGTGACATCACAGAGTTTTCAATTCACACCGGTCAGTATTTTTCTCCGTGCTCTGACAGTTCAGTTGTGTTCACGTGAGGTCAAGATGGCAAAATTTTCAGAGAAGGAACTTGCAATTATTGCATTAATTCTGGATTTTTTTTATACTCCAACTACCACGAAGGCCTTATGCCTAGACACCCATGGGGTACCGTGGTGCTATATGGGGAAACACGGGGGAAAAGGGGGACGAAACACAGACGAGGGAACACAAGTGCATGCAACATGCACACATTCTGGCCCGCCCACGAGATCCGCTGGGTGGTACCTCCGCGTTCGACCGTCGAAAGATGAAGAAGAAGAAACGAGAACAAAACGGAAGTCCTTGTATTTTGAATTTGACTGGTTCTACAGCACGGGAGGTACGCGTACAAATTCAATTAGTTTTTCATGATGCATGTTTTTGACCAATTATAGCAAAATATTCACGAAATTACAAAAAACACGCCGTGAAAATCGAAAAATATCGTTCCAAAACAATGCGATGATAACGGTACCGCGTCGTCGAGGACACTGAGAACACGGCCACTTCCTCGTGCCGGTCTAGTGTGAATCAGTTCATCCAAATTCCGAAAAGAATGTCTTCAGTTTCGCCGGGCGGATCACGTGCCGGTCACAGCACTGTCACGTCACGGCTGAGTATGAATATCCTTTAGCGTTACATTCTGCATAGGTGGCACCCGAACAGCAGGGCGCCTTGGATTGTGATGTCATAAAGCCCATGGATTCTGTTTCAATAGATGGCGAATCACCTCGATGAAGAGAGATCTCAGTGTAATGTTCGAGGGTAGGTCCACGCTACCTAAGGTGGACCCTGAGGTAGCGGCCGCTTTATTTGAAATTATCGTGCGCAGGGATGCGCGCTTGTCCTCTGTGCAGCAAATGTGGGTTGCTCTTTAACTGCAGTGGCAAAACTCACTCCTCCAGGCTCAAAGAAGGGGGAGGGGGGCGCGCAAGCGGGCAGATATTCACATTTAAACAAAGAACTCGGGAGTATTCTGAGGCTTCCATTTATAACTCGCTCTTCGGGGTAAGTCTGACCAAAAAATGCAATCCCAAATAGAACTCAGATCAATGTAGGCAGGAACTGAAGGCCAAAATGCCGGACGCGTCTACCTCTGCGCCGGCTAGATTAGAGTACGCTCAGACTCGCAGCGGGCGGGAGCGCGTTTTCTGAGCCGCCTCACAAATTTCTTATGCCAAACAATAACTTTGCTCAAGCGGCATTTGAGGTAAACCAAGTTTCCACACCTCAAACATAATTATGTTATTACGTTATTTGTTTGTTACCGTGGTATTTCATTTCTGAACCTATGTAAAACCCTAGCTTTAGTTCTTAAAATGGAAAGTAAATTGAAAAATGTGTGTGACTACGATATCTGACAAGCTGTTCAAAAAACAAAGTTCAAGCGATACTTACTTTTACGCCTTTTTTTGGCTCATACCTCCGTCGCTACTGGATCGTTTTCAAACCCTACACAACTTTTTATCCTTGGCACATAATTTCGTCAAAGTCCAAGCGGTGCTCACCGAGTTATAGATGGGCCAAGGAATAGACAGACATACCGACAGATATCACAAGAAGAACAATCTTATTTTCGTAAGTATTTTCTGCAGAACAACTGCGTTCGGACCTGTATTTAGACCTTGTAGGGAGTAAGCACTTTGTTACTAAGAATATTCGGTTACATCTCCGTAAAATAGATTTCGTCGGATATTCGAACCTCGGCTGCCACAGACAATTTATAGTAATACTAATAACCTGCATGTAAATTAATACACAAACCAGACAAGTTAAATTTCCATCGAAGCAATTTGTAAATTGTTTGTATTGACCAATATGATACTGATTAAGGCTACAATGCATATTAACCTACATTTAAATTCGTACACGCTGGCCTGTCAGCGTAATTTCGATTGTATCAGACAATTAGTAATAGTAGCGATATTTTTGGGAAAGGTTAAGCGAGTTATCCCCCGTACTCCAATTTTACGAGTTTCTTGACTTGAAAGCCTTAATTACCTTCTTTAGTCTTGTAATCGCGGAAAATTTCGAAAATGAAAAACCTTGTCACTCACTTCCGTAGGTCTGTCTGCTAATTTCGTAATAGCCCATAATGTCAGAAGTACCTCTCGGATTTTGATTAAATTTTCATGCAAGGTTGCAACTATGCTAAGTATGGAAGAGTTTCAGAATCTCTGAAAAATCGCTTAAACTTTGTTTCTTGACGTCTCAGAGGCTCCTGATCATTTTCAGAAAAAAAGTTGTAGTGGTAGAAACTTGGAGTTATAAGGGCTAGGGGTTGTAAATTTAACGTCTTTAGTATTAGTCACTAGTCACTATCATTAATAAGCTTCTGATGCCGGTAACAACGGGAAAATTAGATGATAAAATTCCGATGAATAATGTGCTCATAATTCGAAATAACTGCAACCCGAGAAATATTTATATTTTTTTGCAACATTTAATATTAGCAGTAAGTTCCGCTTTAGCGAAGTGATAACTTCACCGTTTGTTTATCTAAATTTCGTCTAACTCTAAATTTGTATTACTCCATCTATGAAGTTTCTCTGATTATTTCGTCAAGTAGTTTGATGCAGTACTTATGACGCATTGATATACATCAGACACGTACTGACAAACCGACATAAGTGAGAAACAGGGACTTGTGTGATGGAGAGACGTTTGAGCAACAGAAAACTTGCGAACCGAGGTCCGAATATTATTTATTTATTTATAGCTTTTATTGCCCAACAGATAATATTCCATTTATGGGCCAAAGTCTTAAATCAGAAATATTACAGAAGCCTAACTTATAAAACTATCTAAGGCGCTCCCGCAAAACACATTTCAGCTCCTAAATAGAACATAATAATATGTCACAAAACTTACAAATACTATTATAATTCAAACGCATAACCCTTTCAGGTGATTTCAAAATCAAATTTGTGTTAGCACGACTGCAAAAGAAAGTAACATTATATCTTGAAACGGATCTTTGCGTTAAAAACTGTAGTTGTGATAACAATTTCGAAGAAACTATAGTTCCATGCAAGAGTTTAAACACAAAAATAACAGAACTGTACTTCCATCTCACATTCAAAGACGTCATTTTGAATCTGTCTAACAGAATTTGATAGTCCGATCCACGTTGAGGGTAAACTCTATCCCACTTAAAAGCTAGATATTTAATTAACTTTTTTTGAACATAATCTATCCTGTTTATACAACAGTTATAGTAGGGATTCCATATTAGGGATGCATACTCTAACTTGGGTCTTATATAAGCATAATACAAATCATTGATTAGCTTACAGTTTCTGATGAGAAAACCAAAGGCCCTATTAGCATTATTCACAATATTATCTATATGATAGTCAAAACTAAGCCTAGTGTCAAACATAACACCCAAATCACGAACAGTATCAACTCGAGTGACCTCAATTCCCCCAATACTGTATGCATATTATATTTTACGTAGCTTTCGGGATAAAGTAACTACCTTGCATTTAGCAATATTCAAATGTAACCTGTTTAGCATACACCAATCTTCCAAACGGCAAAGTTGCGTTTGTAAATACAATCTCTTTCACTATTAACACGTTCGCGGACACTCTATGTGGCTAGTGTGTGCCGAATGAGGCACTGGCTCTATAAGCCGTACTAGTCAGTGTGCCTAAGGGGACAGTGACGGCACTTGCCGTCAACTACATATAGTGCTCTAACTTCATTTTGCTGTATATCACGTCAATTCTGCGTATATTAGGAGGTTAGGTGTCCAAATAATAAGTGCAGTAGATTTTTTTTAAGAGGGGGAGGGGTACATCTTCGGACATCGGTAGTCAAAATGGACGATAAATATAGAGAGCAGTGGATGCGCTGGTATGAAGAGTGTGAGAGCGACGATGAAAGCAAACATGATCCATATAGTACAGATGACTCCATTGCTGATCCAGAATATATACAACAGGACTCA